TGGTCACCAAGCTCCATGACGTCTCTCGGGAATCTCAGGCTCCTTACGGGGGAAAAGGCCGACCCTCCAGAGATGATGAAATGCTGTAAGTAATGAAATGGGTCTGTGGAAAATCTCTATTCTATACTGTGTAATACCATCTGCTCCAGCGTCCTCAGGGTTCCTCAGACTTACTGTATATAGGGGAGAGGGAGGTACTGCAGATGAGTCTAATTGGGTGTAAATTGGATCAATATGTTCCAGTTAAGTGTTAAATTGGACCAGTAGAAAGTCTGTCCAATGACCTGGGGCCCTACATTACCTCCTGAGCTGTAGCTGTCATGATCTGAGGCTTCCCCTGTTGTAAAGGCTTGATCCACATTTAGCGCTGGGAGAAGCGGATTATCCAAAGTTACAGCGGAGAGTAACTTGTCTGAGAGATGACCTGTTCAAAAGTCATCGGTTACCGTTATAAAGTCAAGTCTGAGAACAACGTTTCAATAAGTAATCGATAACACTTACGGGTAACTTGACTGAGCAATTACATCTTCATAAGTAATCAATAACAGTAATGTCTGAGATTACGTTTTAAGAAGTAAATCTATACCACGTTATGAGTAAGGTGTCTGAGCTTTTTAATTTTAATGAATGACTAATCATGGTTATGTGCTACTTGTCTGAGAGATTGTTTTAAAAAGTGATCTACTGTGTTAGTTTTCAAAGCACTATATGAGTGTAAGGAATTATGATCAGATACAAAAGGCATTTCAAATAAAAGCCACAAGTTGTTAATTGGGGCTGAATTCCGACTTTCCCCACCCCCAGCGAACCTGGGAGAGCTGGGGAGCACAGGAAGACTCCTCCCCTTGCTGTAGTACCGCAGTGTTTCTGGCGTGACAAGGCGGGCGAGAGATGCCGATGGCTCAGTGTTGCACTGCCCCCTGCAGGTTGGGTATACTCATAGTCCAGACGCTGGCCGAGGTGTCCAGGGGGATGGAGACTGAACCAGCCCGTCTCAGGACACTGACTGCCGAGAGGTGAGCTCCTGATCAGGGATGGCCCCTCTGAGATCTCATTCTCACA